ATAAAGGTTAAGTGAGATCAATTATTGTAAAACATATATTAGTGTTATCGAATTTTTACTGTAATAATGGAACTGACCGATGCATTTTAAGGGTGGACGATCCAATTCGTAATTGTTTTACGTAAACGCTTAATAGCTGATCTAATTTATATAATTAAATAATTTTCGACGCGAATGAGAGCGAGTAATTATTAACCAACCAATTTTTTACAATTAGAATTTGGTATAATATCAATTATTTGTTTTTTTACGTGCAACGGAAAAAAAACACAAAAAAGCTGTGTACTGTTAAATTTATGTTCTTTTTTTCGAGGTATTTTCCTTCGTAAGCGCATTAATTAAAAAAATGCGTTCAATCGACCGAATGTTGCAACCTTAAATTTAATAACTGACCGGCAAATATGCAGCAATTAGCAGTTTTGATATGTAATTGTTTGAAGCTTCTGTTGAAATATTTACCAAATTAATATATGGCGGTGTATAAATAATTTATGCAAGTGGGCATTCTTTCGATTAGCAAAGATTCAACAATTATTATTATCGTCATATATGACATTGTTTTTTAGGGGGCGTCCATTAATTACGTGAAGCATCTTTGAATATTTGACGTCCCTTCTCCATTAAAAAAAAAAAATAAAAAGTTTCCAAATTTATAATTTTAGTCAAATATATATCTACTTAACATGTTTATTTTTTGATAATAATGACATGTATTGACTATTTCCATTCAAAATATCACGAGATAGGTTCCTCTTAGCGATTTTTACCAAGAGACATTTTTACGTAAAAAATCACGGAAATGTATATTTTTTATTCAGTAGTTTTATACCGATACGAACGCGAAGTTCTCTTCAAAACAGTTAAACCACATCAAGTCAAAAAAGGCCTCACGTAATTTCTGGACTGGTAGAATAGTTTATTCCATCACAACTTTTTGTCTTCATCAGTATTTAATTTATCTAAAAATATTCCGAAAACTGGATTTAAAGTAATGTTTTTGTTATTGATAATCAATGTAAAGAAAGGTCAGATTCGGCTTTAAAAGATCTAATTTTGCATTAATTTAAATCTTAGAAGACGCCATACCTACTGACGTACGTAGTTTTGAGTTTCTACGTCAAAAATATTTCTCGATGCTTTAATTTACATAATTATTTTTTTATATTATGAATTATTAATTAAAATTTAATAACAAAAAATATTAAGTAATTTGGAAATGATGTCTGCTTCCTTATGAAGGGTTCGTGGCAAGTTTAATTAGGGATATTACTATTGTTATCATTTTTTTATTTTTTTTTTAAATTTTGTGCCGCACATCTAACTAATATACAAATAAACTACGTATTTGAATAAAAGTTATACATATGTATATTTTATTTTATTAATACACGTAAGTTTATTAATACGCATTCAAAAATACCATTTGATTGAAAAAAAAAGTTGTCAAAGATGGCTGGGGAATAAGAATCCATGATAATTTTGGCGAGGTCAAGCCCTAGGCATCATTTACTTGGCCAGTACTCTTCTTTACCTTTTAATGGCGCTTACTTCCATTTGTCCTTGAGAAACATAATTTCTTGGTAATAATATGTATAGTAACATAGGTATATTAGATCAAAAGTTGCAAGAAAGAAAACCCGGTAAAGATCAAGTGGTTCTCAAAATTTAAGCAAAAAATTATGTTTTTGGAAATGTATCTTTTTTATATATTTGTACTTATTTTAAACTCACCCTTTATATTATATAACAATTTCTATCGATTTATGGTAATACATACTAATGAATAAGAGATAAAATACAGAATGATCGAAAAAAAAAACGGCGTCCGTTGGCTTAGAAATGACAATCGTTGGCATTCCCCATATAATTTTACATATAAAATGACAGCGATCTTCATTTCATAGCCATCGCTGACGCCGTTTTTTTCGATCATACGGCACGGTACCTGCTTTTAGTTTTTAGCTAATTAAATTTATATCTTTATATTTATTTCCGACCGTTAATTATTTACGACTATTTATTTTAAAAATAAAATACATCAAATAATGTTTAATTAGAAGGTAATAAAGACTTTTATTATACAATTAGCAGTAGCGATGACGTTCAAATATAAACAACCAGAATCCATTAAAACTTCTCTTTTGAATCTAAATTGTCCTATTTATAATGGAAATAATAATACTATTCCAGGTTATAGCGTTATAATTATCATATCCATAGTATACTGTGGTATTGTCGCAGATTATTTTCTATCAGCTGATTACCTTTGCTGGTTTTATAGTGTGGTATTTCTTTTGATGCTTCTCGTATAAGAACAGACGAACCGCATAAACGCATAGTCAATATGAGGCCCTAATCTTAGGTTTTAGTGGTATGTATAAAACTGGGCCTTAATGACAGGTATACAATGTGGGTGTTTACCAATTTAAAATCCATTTAAATAGGAAAAATTTAGGCCGTCGCGTGAAAAGCCTAATTAATTATTCCTCATTCATACTGTGGGGTCGTTCGTATCATACCAGAGCCAAAAGAGATTTTTGATTATCGGTATGTCGACCACGCACTGCCGGAGTAAAATTTCATTTCGTTTGTCGCTCGTGAACGCAGCGTAAACGTGTCGGTATGTAACGAGGAACTAGGAAGTAACAGTATAACATATATCTCGCAATATGAAAAATGGCAAAGCAATATAGGTATGTAGAATGTTCACAAGTGGTTAATTCAGTTTACCAGAGCAAGAATAATAATGGCTGCATTGGGGATAATGACAAATACAACATTTTACAGCTTTTCAGTAAACAAATAGTTGAGATTTAAACCATGTATTCTTTTCAACTTCAGTAAATACAACGCTATAATTGATAAAACCGCAGGTACAACTTCCAGCGTATACACTAGTTTATAATCTTACCTGACAGGTTAGACGCTATGTTTTGTAGACAAAGTGTCACAAAATGTAGGCTTGTATAAAAAAGTCAGGGTGGTTACTTCATATATTTATAAACTAAAGTAGTTAATATATAATATAATGTATGACCAAATTAGTGTTTTATTTTGCTGTTGTGATACCAAAAGTTCCAACCCCCAACTGTAATCTTGCAAGATGTAATCAAAAATGCTTTCTCTGATGCTTCAATTCAAACAAAATATATTATTTTTTATTAATAGAAGACCTGGATATGTCCAGGTCTTGTAAAATAAATTGTTATCCAATAAACAATGTGATAAAAATTATATTATTAATGCTTTTTTTGTTTTACAATATTCTATAAATACATATATCATATCTGGATTTTTTTTAATTAGCCATATCGAAATATAACAATTCCTTTGCTGAATTTTAATTTAACTAGTTTATTTGTTAAAAAAACACTTGATCGTGTTGAAGGTTAAAGAAAAGATCGTAAAGCACTATGGAATGGAAGTGTATTATTTTTATAGTAAATACGAACTACCTTGAATCAAAATATAACTGGTTTAAAATATGGAAAATTATTATAAACACACACTTTTTGTTAAATAATTTCAGTGTATTTTTAATTCAGTTATGTTGGATTTTTTTTTCTGTCAAACAAAATATATGCTTTTAAATACCGTATGATTGAAAAAAAATGTCGTCAAAGACGCCTAGGAAAATGACAATCGTTGATAAATTTGGCGAGGTCAATATCTACGTCATTCACTAAAAATTAGCAAAAATTAACACTAGTTATAGGAAGATTAAAAAAGGATAGAAGTTTGCAGACACAAAAAACTATGTAAGTACTAGAAATTTTTAAGTCAGAAATAATACATTAAACAATATTTTATTTTTGATCGGCAGATTTAATGTGTTTTTAATGTATCCATTAACAATTCTATTATAATAAAAACTCTGTTTTAGATTAGTATTACATTTTTATGTACATTAAAACGACCTATATTTTTTACGAACTTTTCATTATTTAAAACCATCAATTTTATATGGTAGCGTGTCCGACCTGTCATGCAACCCCGACATGTGCTACACACACACACCCCATATCAGGGGAGGTTTACAAAAAGTTACTTTGATGAGGGCGAAGCCCTATGTAATTTGAAGTTAATGTATATGAATGACAAGAAAAATTAGTTTTTTTAAATTTCCATTTTTCCTACGTATATTTCAGCAAAATGAACATTTATTAGTGTTTGATGATGTAGGAACTTTTTTATCTTTTTATTTTTTTGTTATAAAGTTATAAAAATCACCAAAGTGAAAGGTTATACAGGGTATCCCAGAAACAAGTGCAAGTATTTTAAGGGGTGGTAGATCTCGATAAAAGAAACATATTTTTCTCCATATCGTTTTTCAAATAAGTCCAAGCCAAACGGCCGAACGAAGCAGTTTTGTGTCAAGGTAAATTATGTGCAACTAATTTATTTTGATTCAAATAATAAATAATACGTAGTAGTTCTATGTCCACGGAATATTGGAACACCCTGTATGCTTAAAAAAGTCTATATTAAATATTTGATTGATGTTATATTGATTGCCATTTTCAAAACTACTAACAACGCTGAAGAGAGAATTTTAATGTGTCATAAAAGAACCACATGATAAAAAAAAACGACGTCAAAGACTGCTGGAGAGTGACAATCCATGCTAATTTTAGTCTAAATTACACACATCTTATTTCTAAAAAATATTTTTTTGCTAATTTTATTCTACAATATTTCAAAATTATCTTTACTCAATATAAAAATAAAGTACAACCTTCTTAAGGTCAACTGGCAGTAAGTGCCATTAAAAAATAAAGAAGAGAGTACATATAGACCAAATAATGACGTCTGGAGATTGACCTCTCCAAAATTATCATCGTTTGTCATTCCCCAGCCGTCTTTGCCGCCGTTTTTTTTATCATATAGTGCTTTTCTTTCATTTTTCATTAAATAAACAATTGCTTATGGAATATGCAATTTTTACCATTACTTTTTATATGTACGAGTAGTATATGACTAAGCATTTTTTTTTGTTTCAGATCCTCGGGTCAAAGATTGGGCGATGATGTCCAGTCCTCTACCTACACTATTCATCTGCCTCTTCTATGCGTATTTTTCTAGAGTTTTAGGGCCCAAAGTAATGGAAAATAGAAAACCATTCAACCTTAGGAAACTTTTAATTGTTTACAATTTGGTACAAACCTTGTTTAGTACATGGATATTTTATGAAGTAAGTATACAATAATAAACAGGGTGAGCCAGTGTTCTGAAAAAGACTTTCTATATTATAGTATGTCGATACACTTGGGCTCATATTTGCGGAAAATATTTTAAATGGGCATTATTATTGCTCTCATATTTAAAAATAAAAGATTACAGTAAGAATCTGATATAAAAAACAGAGTTTTTCGGAACATTGGGTAACCCCATTAAATTTCATTTTTGTTATTGATTAATTTTTTTTAGTATTTAATGAGTGGATGGTGGGGTAGTTATAGTTTCAGATGCCAGCCTGTTGATTATTCTAATGATCCTATGGCTTTAAGGGTAAGTTATATTGTTATATTATATTAACTATTAGATAATAGCATCGTATATGAAAGAAATAAAATATTACTACAAATACTACTTGTTTTCGCAGACTTATAGTTTCTGGTTATTTAAACTTTATTAAATCAGGTTAAGTTTAATTGCTTTGCTTTTATCATTAAAATCAAGGATTAAATTTGAAAGACAAGGTTTCATTCAAGACATTCTAGTGCACTGCTTGTGCATAAGCATAATCTAACATAGTTTAAGTATTAACAATTTAGTTCAGTTTTCTCGCTTCAAATTCTTGATCTTGACCATCGAAATGTATTTATACTTTTTCACCGTAGTAATAAAAGTACCATTCAATCGCAAAAAAGGGCATCAGAGGTTGCTTAAAAATGAAGATCGCTGTCATTTTATATGTAAAATTATAATGGGAAATATCATCGATGGCCATTTTGAAGCCAACTAGATGCCGTATTTTTGCCCATTATACGGTATAAATTTAGTAAAGTTATATATTTGATTTTAGATGGCCAGAACGTGCTGGTGGTACTACTTTTCAAAATTTACGGAATTTTTTGATACCCTGTTCTTTATTTTACGAAAGAAAAACAGCCATGTATCAACGTTACACGTCATTCACCATGGATGCATGCCTTTTTCTGTTTGGATGGGTATGAAGTTTGCTCCAGGTATTTATCTCTATTATTTTTATGAGAGTAGTTGATGACTCAAAAATGAAAGCAACTAGCTTTTCTACGTTTGTGTGTATTTGATTGTTCCGTATCTATTCCCAATTGTTATTTTGAAATTGTCTCCTTCTATACAGGGTGAGTCTTAAATTCGACCCCAGAAACACGATTATGATGGTTTTTTCAGCGAAAAAAAAAATTGAAATTTTTAATTTTTTTGAAAAAATGTTTATTTTTTTTTTAGTTTTTAGTTAAAAAAACATAATTTGCTGATAATATGGTAACATAGGTAGTAGATTAAATTTACAAGAAAGAAAATCTGGAAAAGATCCAGTTGTTCTCAAAATTTTAACAATTTTTTTTGAAATTTTTAAAGTAAAATATATCGATTATTTTGAACTTTGAAAAACGGTAAAGAGAAAATATGTTTCTTTTAGAGAGATCTACCAGCCCTGAAAATATTTGCACTTATAATGGAATAATATTATTATTATGATACTTACCCTGTATAATGGAATCTCATTTCGATTTCCCATATCTTATAAAATATACAGATTGTAGATTGTCATATAAAAGTTTATCTAAAATATAAATATTTTTGTTCGATATTTGTAATTGAAAGATACAAAATTACTAAAGAAATTGTAATTAAGACAACTGAATTTAATAAAAAATCTCTTGTTAGACTCAAAATTTTTCTGACTGCTTTTCCACTATTTAAACAATTTTTGTTTTGTAGGTGGTCACAGTACCTTTTTCGCCCTTCTCAACACTTTCGTTCATATCGTCATGTATTTTTACTATATGATAGCCGCGTTGGGACCTGAATACCAAAAATACATCTGGTGGAAGAAATACCTCACTGCCTTCCAAATGACCCAATTTGTCGCAATATTTGCTCACCAGTTCCAGCTCTTGTTTACCGAATGCGACTATCCTAAATCGTTCATGATTTGGATCGCCATTCACGGTCTTATGTTCTTGTTCTTGTTCTCGGACTTTTACAAGGTCAGCTACTCGGGTGATAAAAAGAAGAAGAAGACTCCAGACGGTGCCTGTATGGTACGTATATTCAAATTGTACCACATAATCGTAATTACCATTAAAATTGTGATTTTAACTTTGTTTTTAACTTTTTTTTATACCAATTTCCGATTTTTGCACTCCGATTGCGCACTTATTCATTCATACTCTGTATAACAAAATTAAGCAGTATTAAATAGAAAATGTGACGCGATGATATTGTTTGTAAATTTATTCATAATTTTGTCAAACATATACTATGCAAGAAAATACTAATAAGTTTTATTTTATTTCTCTAGCCAGTGGAAGATTATGCTAACGCAGCACCTCTTAGGAAATCAGATAGTAATGGGACATTGAACAACACTTATTTACAAAGTGAATTCTCGGATTCATACAAAGCATGCTACTCGAACGGCAGCACAAAGGGTTTTGTCACACAATCTATCGAGAAGCCACAAAACACTAAGAAAATTGAATAGACTTAAGACAATCTTTATAAGTAATAATTTATTTTTTAAAGACGAAATTTTTACAATCTACCTTTCTAGGCTTGGAGAGCAATATCTTTTTATCTGTCTATTTATATCGCATCATAATTGTTTTAGATTATTTGGATTTTCAATGTCTTAAAAACTAAGTATAAGAAATAGATAGGTATATGTATTTAAATATATTTTATCTCCTACGGTGATCCAATATCTAGAGTGTTGCATTATGCTACCTAGCAATATTTTTACTATCTAGATATTTGATCACTAATAATATTAGCTCTTGCAACCTTTCAGGTGGTACGAATGAAACTTTTTTACACAGACATTTCGTTTTTTTTGTATTACTTGAAATGGTTCTTGGGAGGGCTGTGATTTAGTTGTAAAATATTGTATAATATTGTTGCAGTAATGATAGGTTTATTAGATTTAATGTTAAAGCTCTGAGGAGGTAAAATCTATTACAAATTGAATATATTTACAAGATAATCTGTTAAAGGGTACAATTATTTGGTTATTTTTACAGAATGTATTTAAGCTCTTTCAAAGAAATTCAAAATAGGTTATGTACTGTTTACTTTAAAAAGCTTGTCTTGTAGATTTTTGCTTGATCAGTTTGTACAATAGTTAGATTGCTAAATACAGAGTGACCCAAAACCTTCCAAAAAGCTCTTTCTATATCATGTTTCTGGTTTAAAATGTTTACTATCTTTTTAAGAAAAAATGCAGGCAATGGTATAGCACATTTTAAAAATATTTTTGTAATTATACCGGGTGACTGAATTAGGTATATTTTCAAGCTAAAGTTGGATTTTTTAAAAGGGAATTATGTTTTTAAATGAAATGCATTATGTTTGAATCATCCTTGTATAGACAAAATATATTTAAAATGTGCGTGCATATTTTATATGAAAGATTAGAGACAACATTTCAAACCAGGCACCTTATTTGGAGCTTTTTTTGGAATGTTTACCCTGTATGATCTAAAAATTATAATTACCTATACCTACTGTGTCGATGCGTAATAGTAATTCTCAGTTCAGTCCTATAATTTTTTAACACTTTTCTATATATGAATTAATATCAAAACTAAGATAAATTGAAACAAAATGTTTAACCTTTATCATACAGCTTTATACTATAGTAGATATAATTGTATTTTTCTCAGTAAAACAAAAATCTACGAACTCTATTGTTTCACTGCTTGCACGGAAATAAATAGTAAATAGGCGGCAGTGAATATTTTGCATGTTTGATTAAGGATCTTTATACTTGTAAATACGGTTTATGTTGTCAGCTGAAGGGACCATAGTGTTTCATAATTTGCTTTTGCAGTATTTTTTTATTCTGTGAAACCATTAGTGCCTAACATTGCAGAATAAATCTTATATAAAAACTTTAAGAAGAGGGCGGGATGATTTTAAGGTTTTTATTATTTCAGATATACACTGTATGTTAAAATTAATAATTGTGAGATATTTAAAAAATCAGAACATTTTCTGAACTTTGTTTTGGAAAAGGGTGGTTCTTGGAAGAATCACAACCAGTCAGCACTATGTACATGTATGCAATACAAATTTGAAAACTACTTATTCATTTCAAAATCTGGTTGAGGCTGACTGGAAAGGAACAACGTGTTTGTGAAATAACATTTTCTTTTAAAAATAAATTAATAATAAATCTAATAAAAATTCGAGTCTTGTCATCGAATTAGTAAGGAGATATTTTTAATTTAGTATTATAATTTATTTTTAGAGGAAATTTTATTTTAATCTTGACAAGAATGTACGTTTAGTATTAAATATTTGAACAGTATCAATGACTTATTTGGGTATTTATTATAAACAGAAACTGGCTTTTAATAGATTTTTTACAGTTTTGGTAATATATATTATATCAATAAACGTTTTTAGCTTTACCAACGTCTATTGTTGCAATTTATTTTGTTGGCATTTACTTAGTACTTATTAAATGAAAATATTTTGTATCTAAATTGTATTAGCTTTATAAATAGTTGCTAAGTATATTTGGTGTTTTGTTATCACTTATTAAAGATAATGTGTATTTACACTATATTTCATTCAGAATTAATCTTACTCTGAATTTGTATGAAACTGAAATGAAAAACTGAATTTTTTCACACGTTTTTTAGATAATTAAGGTTGTATAGTATTTTTGTAAATAAACAGGAAAGTCGCAGAGTTCTTTTTTTTTAAATTTTTTGTCACACTAAGTAGTTGTCAAATTGACATCTTTAAATGTCCCAAATTGGTCCCAAAATGCTTGAAAATTAACAATTAGCTAAATTACAAATTAAAGCAGCAATGACTGAAGCACTGGGTAGATTAATTCCACAATCATTGACAAAGCCAGAAACTCAAGTTGTTATATTAGCAGGTGTATGTTTTTTTGGATCATGGATACTCATAATGAAAATAATTCAATATGTATTTTCACTGATTTGGCCATTTTTATTGATTGGAACGCTAATTATCCTGTCACCTAATTGTTCCAGCACTCATATATTAAAAAGTGTACTAAAATATATTAATATACTTCACAGTTATTTGAAAAATCTGATGGAATATGTCAATATGAAATAAAGAAAATAATAATGCAACTCTATATACACGTTTATTGGAGTACATTAAAAATGCATTAAGGCTTCTGTAAGTATTTCATTTATATGTTCAGATTCTTCAGGTATTTGATGGTGATTACCAATTATACAATTTTTAATTTTAGATCCACTTTCTATGACAACATTATCAGAGATTATGCTATTTTCTATTGCAACTCTGAAAATATTTAAAAAATATTATAAATATAATATGAAAGTCAGATTTAAAACTCACTTTTCTTTGATTACTACGTTATTCATAACAATACTGTTAAAAACTCTGCTAAAACTATTAACAGTAGATTTTGCTCCAATGATGGAATTTTTAAATGACGTTTTTTCAAACAATTTTGCCTCATCCCAAATTATACATTTGTCATCTATTTGATTTGATTTTATTTCTGCAGTTTGACTTTTATTAATCATTTCAGTTTGATTTGATACTCTCTCCCAAATTTCATGAATCTACAATAAGAAGTTAGAGAATTTTGTTACCTTTTGAAATTATTTTCTACAACCTTCCCATTTATATTCCAATAGGCTGGTAATGTATTAATTCTTACACCAATTGATCCCTTAGGAGCAATATAAGAATAGCACCTAATTGGATCATCACTATATGTGGATCCTAAATTTCCTTTGTGATAACTATAAGGAGATGCCTCCCTAATATCTACTTCAAGTTGATCTTCAACAGCAAAGCTAAATATATCATTACTATCCTTAGTATTAACAACTGATACATTTGTGTCAGTGGATTTTGGAACTTTTGAAAGTTGTCTTTTAACAATATATGGTATCAATTCTCCCTTAAGGGACATGAAGTTATCTTCTGATTTTAAATATTGTATTACCCAGTTTTTCAATACATACACATGTGAATCAACTAAAGTGCTGTATATATTAATATTTGGATGTTTTTTTAAGAGATTTGTAGCAAGTGGTACTTGTTCCTCAAAGTCACTTGCAGAAGCTAAAAACACTAAACGGTTGTTCTGTTCATCAATACCAATTAAATCCTTCTCTAAAAAATATATTTTTATTAATTCATCGTAACTTCCACAGGATGTAAACTTAAAACAGATTTTAAATAAAAAACTGACCAGGCTTAAATTTTGATTTAGGGCCTGGGACAACAGAATGCTCTAAATTCTGTGAATGAAAAAATAATGTGGTAACAGAAGCATTATACTTTCTAAATGTATTTAAAACGCCTGATAAATCTACATCTGTAATGAGATCACAAGATAAAATCAAAACATCAGATTTTAATTTCTCTTGTATTTCCTTCAGTCTCAAACTGTCTGCTGTACCCAAATCATCTTTATCATCCAAAACAGAAACATAATCTATTTTAATGTTTAAAGTATTTTTTTCTATTTCGATATCGATTGCACTTTGAATTTCTGTTTTCTGGTGTTCAAGAACAATCATAATGACCTCTACAAAAATAAGATTTTAAAGAGTCACAAAAAGATAATCATACACGTACCAGTAAATCCCGATTTTTGAAGTTTGCTGAGTGTATACCAAATAAGTGGTTTACTTCCTATTGGAAGTAAACATTTTGGCTTTCCAGATGTAAATTCTAACATACGTGAACCTTTTCCAGCTGCTAAAACAACAGCTTGGAATTCTGCCGGAATTGTCATATTTGTTTATTATATTAATATATACCTAAGATACAGTATATGGAGTATACATTAAAATTACAGAATTTGAGATCTGAGATATATTTAAAATTATTAAAATTCAAAAGCTAAATAATAAAGTTTTAAGTTAGGTGGCCGTTAGGTAAGATCGGGAAATTAGAAATTAGGAATGACGGGAATGACATATATATGACATGAGGATCGCTATCGCTATAGCCGCAGAATACAGAATATAAATTTATAAATCTAACCTAAAATCTAACCAGTATCATATATAAAACGGGAAACGGGAGATACTAGGTTATTTTATTTTGTGCCTTGTGGTCGAAAACTATAATCGATTCCAATCGATTCATACACGTTTGGCGTTTTCTGCTCGGGTTGTCGCAACTGTCCCTTATTGACATTGTTGAAGCCCAAGTTAAGGTGCGACTGTTTTCCTTTATATCTATTATTTTATGGTGTTTGTTTTTCATTCTGACAAATTGGAGTTGGTTGCGAATTCCAAGATTCCAAGTATTTTTTATCTTTTTGTGAATCATAATTATTCCGTGATTATACCATACAGTGCCTTCTATTAAAATTTGACTCTTTTATGTGGAGATCAGACATTGGCATAGTTTTAGACCAAGTCTATTGCTGTAGAAATTTAATTGTCGTTGACTATAAAACGTTTGATTAAAAGGTAATTAATACCGAGGCTAAAAGCAGCTAAAAGCTTTTTAAGCCCTCCATAGTAGTTGATTAAAGTATCCAGGAAAATGTCTCTCTATCCTAGTCTGGAGGATATGAAAGTTGACCAGTTGGGTAGAGCTCAAGCAGAAGTATGTATACATTGTTTTCTTTTTAATTTAAATATGTTTCTCAAGTGCAAAGAATGTTTTGATCAATAATTATTCAATTAATGCATTCTACGCACACTGATCGTTGTAAAAAGTATAATTAATAAAATTATGTATTTTATAATTAGGCATTTAGCAGCTATAGCAATCCTCCACCGTACAATCCTGGGACTTATAATGCAGGAGCTGTGTCAGTGGATGTCGGAAATGCATATCCATCCCTTGGTAATTATATGGGATTGGAATTAAGTGAACTAGTTATTAAGGAAAATATGCCAGAATATCTACAACATCAGCAAATATCAATTTACCAACAGGTATTTATAATGTTATTGCTCATAATTTTCACATTTTTTGACCTTTATTGGGTAATTCCAGCAGAATATTATTTGTCCATTCACAATGACTAATTCTTCTTTTAAAACCCAGGTGTAAATTAACACTAATTAGTTAATGTTTTGAAATATATAAATGTGATATGAATTTTGAAAAGAGTACCTACTTTTGTCATTTGTCAATTCAATATATAAAAATTGCATTAAAACCTAGTTGACACTTGCTATGAAATTTTATGTCTGGTATATTTATGTAAATATATATGTGTATCCATTATATTATACCACTTGATATGTTTTCTAAATGCCTTTCTATATTTTTATTAGTGAATTAATAGTAAATCCATAACTATACTTACCAACCTTTCTTGTCCCAATAATAATGACCCTTATGCGGCAATTAAACATAGAAATGCTCTTTGTGACAAGATTGAGGTAATTATCCCATTAAGTATATATCATATATCACTGTTTTATATACTTTTCATATGTAATCTAAACATCTTCTAAAGATTTTTCAGTATTTGGGACTTTCTCTAGGACCACATTAATTGTTGAATAAATAAATTTTCCATTACTTAAGAGGACAACCTTTTTTCTAAATTGTATTGATAACTCGCAAAAAATAATGTTAAGATTTCAGAGGTTAAGAATAACTATAATATTCTATTCAATATTCATTATATTCCATTCAATCTAAAATTGATGATTACTGACTTCTATCTTTTTATAATTTCACTTTAATGAACAAAGTACAAATAAAAAAAAAATAAGTAAAGATAATTCTTTAATGTATATTTTAGAATGGATTTCCAGTAGGTAATACTACTATGATAGCACCTATTTCAAGTCAATCGGTTGGACTGCAAAGAGCTCAAGTAACAAATGGAATTAGAGAACTCACACTTTGCAAAGATAAGGACAATAAGGTATATAGGTTCAAGAATACATTAAAATAATATTACTAAACTATGTTCTTTAGGTTGGCCTGCGTGTGAAAGAAATAAACAAGGGTGTTTTTGTGTCACTTGTTGTTGACAAGTCTCCAGCTGCTTTAGCCGGTTTAAGATTTGGTGATCAAATTTTGCAAATTAATGGTGTTAACGTTGCCGGTAATTTATTAATATCCATATATTATTACTGATTTAGTATAATTTTTCAACATCTTTAGGCTTTTCAATGGATAAGGTCCATGAATTGCTTAAAAAAAGCCCTGTAAATGGTATAAAGGTTGTTGTTAGAGACAGGCCATTTGAAAGAAATCTAACTTTGCATAAAGATAGCACTGGTGGTCTTGGTTTTCAATTTAAAAATGGAAAAATTGTAACTATAATTAAAGACTCTTCAGCTGCTAGAAATGGCGTACTCATTGAACATCAGTTATTGGAAGTTGACGGTCAAAATGTGGTTGGATTGAAAGACAAGCAGATTAAAGAAATCATTGCAAAGGCTGGAAACACAGTAACAATAACAGTTGTTCCAAGCTTCATGTATGACCATATGGTAAAAAAGTAAGTGGCACTTTTAAGCATAATTATTTTAAACATAAATAATTTTTAACTGTTTTTCAAATTTAGAATGGCTGGATCTTTGATTAAGGATTTGATGGACCATTCAATCCCAACACTGTAGATTCTTCTATGACAATGATTTCATATTATGCATTTTTTGTTTATAGTACTATAATAATGTTTCTTATTATTATCTATTATCGTTATAACAACTTATTATTAATCATAGATGAATATCTTTTTTGTTTATATAACAGTTATTTTTTCTTTATTAATGCTGTAGGTTCTTTTGTATCAAATATGTGAAACTTTCCTTTATTCCTGTGCCATAGTTTTTAACAAATACTTTTGTTATTTCCAAGCAAATAATTTCTATATATCTTATATATGTATTAACCATATTTATCAAAATAACCTTATATCTTATTCATTGTATTATATATAATATTGACTCTAACAATACATTATTGCTCCCATGTAAAGCACTGTGGTGTTTATAATACCGTATGATCGAAAAAAAAGCGTCCAGTTGGCTTGGAAATGAACATCAATGACATTCCCTACATAATTTTACATATAAAATGACAGCGATCTTCATTTCATAGCCATCGCTGACGCCGTTTTTTTTTATCATATTGTATAATCATATTAAAATAGGTATATATCCACTGCATTAAAACTGATACACCGAATAAAGGCCAGAAATTGGTGTGACAATCAATGTTTTTTGTATCAAACTTTACATTTTGTCTTATTAATACCGCAGACTAACTTATAATACCGAATAATAAATATTCATATACACGTATTTGCCAATATATTTTTCATCTATTATCATTATTTTTTATGTTTAATACTTATTTTGATTTAACAGGACGATTAATATTTTTTCAGTAATGCAATTTAGAACGTCCTGAAATTATTCCTAGTGACATGCCTACCAAAGATGAGATTTAGGTATATGTGATTGTTAGTGTCAGTTAATAGATTTTAGTTTTATACTATCTACGTTTAATAAATAAAATATATCCAGTCATTATTGTTTTATTTCAAGAAGTTATATTAAACATTACTTTTTGAAATTAATCCATCTTTATAAAAATAAAATAAAATATAACATCAACGTGAATATAACTATAATCTTTTCATGTATATATTATAAACAAATATACTAACCGAAAAAGTATGTACAGATCAAAACTCAATGTAAATTATATAATCAAATATTTTTGATACTGTAAGTTAAAATTTGATCAAATCCTATATAACAATCACTCATAATGTGAAGTGTATACTGATAAAATCCTATAGAAGAAACAATTTATTAGAATTATCAATTTAGGATTAAGTTTTTTCCTTACCTCTTCTTAAATATAATGGAATTTCTATCTTTTTATATTTTTTACTAAAGGAAAATTTCCTAAATTCCAGTTTTCCTTCCATTGATAATACCATAAACCAAAATTCTTCTTTTTGCTTATTAAATTTTTTACTATGTACGTTCATTTGACTAGAGCCATCCCTATATAACTCTAAAGTTAATATATATTCACCTTCGCCTTTTATCTCGAGATTAATTATACTACAATTTTGCTCATTTACTTCTGGTTCAATACAGTTTTTCATTTCGCAACTGCTAATCTTGGTTTGTATGGTCAATATAGGTAACCCGTTGATCGATTTCATGATCTCCGATGATGCTTTACTTCCAAAAATATCCGTAAATATGTATAGCACCTCTTTATTATCTTTATGTCTATCCATGTAGGCTCTAATTGATGGTATACTGAAATCATCAAGTTGCAATAGTTTTGACCATTTCTCTCTAATTTGAATCGAATTGCTTTTGTTGACGTAAGGGAGCATAATAAGGTTGGATTCTGACACCATATAACCTTGTATAAGCATCTGACAAAGATATATTAATTTAATAGTACAATCAAGCCAGTGTCTTCCCGCAGCTAAATTCATCATTGCCTAAAATCAAACATTTACTCAAATAAAATAATTTACTATTTTATATTGTATTACATGAATAATTCGAATAATTTGATCCAGTACAGATTTAAGATCAAGTACATATTCTTGATTTGGTAGGTTTGCATCCAGAAGGTAGCATTTTATCATTAATAGAACCTTTAAACTAGGAGAATCAAATGGAAAATTTGATTTAATATCTAGATCCCTAGCTAAATCCCTAAAAAGAGGTTTATAAATATCAAATATATATGTATGCATGCGATGTATTGTGGCAATCGTAAAGTATAGGTATATTATATAATATATCTCTTACTTATTTATATTGTCTTCATTATGTCTAACTGGAAATAGTTTATATTCTTCTACTTGGCAAATAAGGGAGAGTAAATCATCTATAGAATTATCAAATTGCATATTCTCACTCAGAAAATGTACAGTTTTATAAGATAAATAATATTGACAACCTAACATGCCTAAGAAAGTAGTCTCATAAAAGTTCTTGATATTCTGAAATTTAAATATTTTTATTATTATACCGATTTGGTCATTTTAGAAGTGTGGTCTGGATTTTAACGTGTAAGACAGTGATGTAGGAAGCTTAATGGAAAATCAAATGTATTACGAAGAAATAAAAGTTGTGTTGATACATTTCTTCTATGCGGTATTACCGAATTTTGAATCAAAAGTTCAATAACTACAACTGCACAAGTAGGCGTATATGGAAAATGTTGCATTTAGGGTTGAAACTTATTTTTCACAATTAGTTACTCATTTTACTACAGATGTAATAGATTATATTTAGCTTAGATATATTATCTCCATTTCAGTAGTATACATGAACGTTTTTAAAATAGTTTTTTTTTCTACACAAATTTTCCTACAAACGTAAAAACCCGGCAACATTGTATGGCCATTTATATTATTTTCTGTCTTACAAGTGACCAAAAAAATGACCTTCTAAAATGACCAAATCGGTATAGATAAATAATTTATTTACTTTACCTCAGTTTCTGATGCTAATACACAGTCATGTTGTTGTAAAGTATTAATAACAGAATCTACCAATTCACTAACATACTCTAAAGGATCAGTGTCTCCTTCCAATTGGTAATAACTTGGATTGGCTAGTAATCTAAATAAATTTATAAATGGATAGAATAGAATATGAAAACAAGGTGTTATTAGAATTATTAACTGAAACAATACAATATAAAAGTTACCTTCTGAAGAAAAATGTTGATTCAATGAATTCTATTAGTTGAGGTTTACTAACTATATTTCCATTGGCAATTTCGGCATTAACATGATCTGGCAATGTTTCCAGAAGATTTGATTCTACCGGAAACGGTTCAAATAGGAATTTCCTATAAATAGAAGAAATATAATAAATTTTGTTTTTCAAAATCGACATCGTGAATACATAATTCTGCCATTTTTTAATAATACTGTTTTAGTTATTTAATAAACATAATTTAACATTCTTAATTTTTATATTTGATCTTTTAATTTATTTATTTGCAGACGAAAACATGAATTTTGACTATTTTCAGTTTGTATTACCCCACGAGAATAAACGCACAATTTATATAAGTCTGCCAACGAGTCAGATAACATTTCGATAAGAGACATCCAATGCTTGTCACTGCCACAATTTAATAGTTAATATTCGGTGTACCTTGTTATCTCTCGCTGGACCAACTTCATATAAATATGTTACTGTTAGTGTTGTACCTGTAAAAATTCTTTTTACTTTCTTGCACCATAACACAGGCTACGCCAGTGGTGTCGTACTGTGGTCTACCAGCTCTACCGGCCATCTGAATGACGTCTGTTATCGGCATATCGACGTAACGTTTAGTAGCTGCGTCAAAATATTCCGTGCCTACAAGATACTTTCTATTTAGATTTTCTTTTCAATTAAAATGTTGATCAATTTAAACATTGCGTTTTTCAACTTTGAATTGATTTCAAAGCTGTTACGAAAATATTCACCTTTAACTACAACCAATCTAGCCGGAAAATTAACACCCCATGCCAAGGTAGCTGTAGCAACAAGAACCTGTATTTTTTGGTTTACATATAGTTCCTCAACTAAGTTTCTATCCGTGTCGGTTAACCCTTAAAAACACACCATTTAGTGACACTCAAAATAATTAGCCAATAAGCCTACCTGCGTGGTGCATTCCAATACCGAAAGTTAATAGTTGAGCCAAATCTTGATCGACCAGTCTTGCTTTAATATCTTCCAACTCGTACGATTCGCAGTGCATCCATTTCTGTGGATTGTTTTCGGAAAGTAAGAATTTCATCAGCTCATAGCCCGTAATGCGCGTTTGTTTACGGGAAGACACAAAAATCAAGGCGGAACTTTGAGATGCGTATTGGCATATGGCCTGATACACTGATTTATTCATGGCGGCCATTCTTGGACAATAATGTTTCACTTCAAAACCTTGAAGGTGGATTTCCAAAGGTACCGGTCGGACGGCCGAACTAAAGTTAAATAAACCTCTCTACGAAAAAAAAGCATTTTACGTACAAAATTATTTACGTTTAAAATATATTATTTACTTTATCGCAATTTAACCAGTTAGCCAGATCGCCAGGATTAGCCATAGCAGTTGAGAGACCAATGATTCTAACGTTAGTATTTTTTTTGTGGTTTATGCAGTTCATTCTGGAAACGATAACTTCAAGGACTGGTCCGCGATCCTCACCTAAGTTTGGATAATTTAGAGTAATTATTAAGTTTGATTCGAATTCTTACACAAAACAAACAAAAATATTAAGCTGGGTTTTCAAATTTCTTAACTTGAGAAACTTGAAAATAAAAAATACCAAATTCTAGGATTATTCAACAGAAATGTATCGTATATTGCTACAAGAATAAATATTCGATACTAATAGTTAATTTATTCTGCACAAACTTACAAACATTATTGGAGTGATATAGGCTTGGTGCATTACAACCGATGTTTTAAAATTTCGACAGTAGCGCCCGGTACGGCAGAAATCAGAACTGTTCGGCTACTGCTAATTTCCGATTAGCCGTCCCGGTTAGCGTTCATTTTGATCGCATTGAAATAATATTGAAAGTGTGGCTATGTCATAATATTTAAGTATTTTGGTTTTTACTAGTGCAGTTATTGAATCTATAAACTTCTCAGGTACAAAGTTCGTATGATGGAACGCTGTTTCACGTAGTAAATGTGTTGTGGTAATTTCAAATGACAATAAAATTGCCGAAAAAATATTCACACGAAAAGGAGGGCGGGATTGCGTAATCCGATTATATGTATAATGAACCTTACCTAAAAGATGGATCTCGTCGATAATCATCAAACCAACTTGTTTAACAAAGTCTTTTTCCGTCCAATTCCTACTCATCGCGTCCCATTTTTCTGGAGTTGTAATAATAATATGCGCCGATCTTATAAGCTCTGATCTAGGCGTTATATCTCCAGTTACCTCAACAACTCTCTTATTTATTTTAACAAATTTTTTAGACCAATCCAAAACCCTTTCTCGGACGAGTGCTTTCATGGGAGCTATGTAGACCACCTAATTTAAAATAATTAAGATTGTAATTTTCTGTAGAAATATATTGGGTAACGACAAGTGGTTCTCAGCACTTTTTTTTCATTTGCAATGCAAAATGTGATGCATGTTTACTAGTTTGAAATGAAAATTTCATCCAAGCCATTACTAATTACAAATACACTATACATGTTCAAATGGCTACTCCCCACTGGCAGTTTAAATTTAAAAATACTTACAATGTAAATTACGACTGTTTTTAGTTGAACCTATCTTCTAAATGTATTTTTCGTATTTTCATATTAAAAAAATATGGCTGAGCCACTTGTAGTTGACTTCCTTATGTATTTAGATATACCTTTTGTTCCGGATTTAATGAAAATAATCTTAAAATACACAGTTCTGCAACAATTGTTTTTCCAGAACCTGTCGGAGCTCCTAATATAATCGGAGTATCGGTATAATAACAAGAATGAAACACTTGGCTTTGAACTGCATTAAAATGAGTAAAAGGATAAAGATCCTCGTAGGCCCTGTTGCGTAAAACTTTTTTTGATAAAGGCTGTAAATCCAGTATTTTCGTTTGAAAGGATTCCGAAGGAAACAGTTTTATTTCATCCAAATTGATTACTTCGATTCGTTCTGAATCTAGAATATAAATAATAAACTTATTTCATCTGGCAAATTACTAAACATATATTACTTACGAATAAAATGACTGTTAACAACATGAACGTAGTACTCCCACGAAAGAGGTTTTGTTAAAGGAACTGTGAAAACTAGTTCTATCGGATCTGCTCCTGGTAAACACATGCGCTTTGTTACGACAAATGAGTCAATATGATAAATGCTATCATGAATCGGATCTTCGACGTAAGCGTAGTAATGTTGAACACTACCATGAGTTTGATTGTCCCATTTAAATCTGGGTGTTACTAATAATCTCACTCTTAAAATATCAAGGTTAGAATGAATTAATGTGCATAACAGTTATAACCACCTATTACCTAATAACTCCATCAGTAATTGGTTTAACAACTATATCTACTTCAACCACAGGAAATATGCGACAGAAATGGCTTATTCTGTTTGCGACATGTTTGGATCTAAACAGACTTTCCAAATCCCTTTCTGAGAGGTCTCTAAGCTCATCAATGTTCATGTTTAGTATTTCCATTGCTCTATTAACACCAAATTAGAATAAAGTTAAAAGGCTCATCAAAATTATCGTTTCTTAGTTAATAACGTACCTGTATGAGCTTAAGTGCGGTACCAGCTCTTTAAACTGCCACAATGGATGTACGCTGTCCCATGTTTGTTGTTCCATCATCTGAGCTAATTTTAGAGTTCTTGAAACTTGAAGTGCATAATTTCTATCTTTTGCAATCTCAAATAGTGCTCTAGCCAATCTCACTACAGTCTTAAAGTTTAAATAATATAATAAAGAAAAATATATTTATATGAGTAATTACCTGCATGATATACTGCGAGTCGGAAACTAAGGAAGAAACTCTGATTATAGCTTTGCTAATATTGGCTTGTATTAAACATATTACTTTTGAAGTTACATTTGCAAAGTCTAAATTAATATCATACTCATTACATTCCCTTAATCTATCCAATTCGTGGATTTCGTCCATTCTCACCTATACATAAATCTTGTCATTAAAAGAAAATCTAAATAAAAATTAATATACCTGTATTTGTTGAAATTCGTATGCCTCACTTAATAATCGAATTATGTCAGCTTCTGATATATCTCTATTAAATTTTTCATAAAAAAGCTCCATCGTTTTATAAGAAATATAGTAAAAACTAGCGATTCGTCCGAAATTCGTAGGACGAAGTTCACCCAGTGTTGTATCAAAGCGAATCATTTGAGATTTTTCCAAAATTTTAGCTGCCTCGTCAAGTTTCATTTGCAAATATTGGTTAAACTGCATATTATCGAAAACTTCTTTAAATGTTAGACCGTAAACTAAGGGATTCTTTTTGATTCTGCAAAACAAAAATGTATTTGCAAGCCATTCCATGGCCTCTCTCACATTTGAAACTGTTCCCAATATAATCTGAAAAAAAAAAAGAATTTAAATAAACAACAAAGCTCCCTAAAAATTTAAAATTGGGAGTGTCGACTGTGTTAATTAAATTGCGTTTTTAGGTAAAATATGTAGTCATTTTGAGGACGTGGTGGCTTTCCCGCAATATATTTTTATTTTTTGCTAATGAGCCACACTTGTTCCATTTGAAAAAAATGAGATATGACTAAAAATACGATTTGGGCATTTTTTAACCCACCAAGACAAGACACGAAAAACATTAGACGATCAAATCTATTTTTTCAAGGCTCCTTAATTAAAAATTAATGTTTTTATACAAGCATGGCGTTCTAGATTGAAATTTAAAATACGATTTTCTTTTAAGCGAAAATGTCAAAAGTTGGCACATGTTATTCTAATCACAGTGTCATTTTCTATGGAATAAAGTAAAAATATGCCGAAGTGCAATTTAAAAATGAAAAGTTGTCTTCATTTCATAGCCATCGCTGACGTCGTTTTTTTGCTATCTATTGCATTTAATTTTAATACATAAATCAATTTATCGCTGTACCTCAGCATTAAGGTTGTCTGGGACACAGTTGAAAAACTGACTCTCAATAGGAACTTGAGATAACATTAATCCCATATACTTTGACATATTTGCCATTGTAGTAATAATTATTCCATAACCCGACGTATCATATTGGGGCCTCCCAGCTCTGCCAAAAATTTGTTGAACGTCCAACATATCCATATCTACGAAAGTAGACTTTGTTGCGTCATAATGAAGCGTTCCCTAAAAATAAAAGAAATAAAAAAATACATAGTAAAATATGGAGAATTTATGTACACACCCTTATTATAACAGCATGTGCTGGTAAATTAACACCCCAAGCCAATGTTGTGGTACAGACTATTACTTTAAGTTCTCCTTTTCTAAACATATGTTCCACTTCAAGTCTATCGTTCCTCACCATACCTAATTATTTTAATATTGCAAATATTACTTTAGGTGCACTAAAATTATTTTGTGGCGTCGCTCGAGAGGCATCGCGCAAAGTTCAACGCTCAAGCAGTGCCAATATGAACGTGCACTAGCCAGACAAAGTCACATTTTTATAGTGAGTTACTAAAAAAATTATGTGGAATTTCTTCAATATACCCTTTAATAAAAAAACTTTTTGACCATTATTTGTCGTGTTACAACTATTATGGTGGACAATTATAAATACTCTTTACATAAGTAAAGTTGTTCAGAATTTGATGCACCAAGTTTAAATTTTCAATATTTTTATATTTTTTCGAAAGATTTTAAAAAAATATTTCCATTCACCAAAATTTAATAAAACAAATTAAATTAATAAAAAATACGTGATTCTTAAATAAATACTATTATACTAAATATAATACTTCTTACCATAAAAGTCTAAATAATTACTTTGAATCTTACAGTTCAACATTTCTGTTTTGTATTTGAAAAAAGTCAAAATATTTTTTTTGCCATTGCTGTAGAAATTCGGCATAAACTTTTTTCATCAACTCAATAATAAAATAAATTCCAAAATCTTTTTTACAAAAACTCTGACTTTGACCAAATCTTTTATCTTTGACAAACCAGCCTATTTATAAATTGTAATTTACCTGCATGATGAATACCAAATCCTTGTGGTACTAAAAAGCCTAAGTCGCTGTTTTTATATCCTGATCTATTAATTTTAATTCCTTTTTCAGGTTCAAAAAGTCTAAGAGTTCCTTTTTCTTGTGCTATTTCGATTAATCGTTTTGCCACGGTGGCAGTGGCGTTTCTAGATGTGACAAAAACCATTGCCTTAAAATATTTGCAGATGTATGTACAAAAAATTACTCTAGATAAACTGTTCATGACATATAAAAAATAATTTCTATAATACATATAGAAAAAATAATTTTACAAGATCACGTTATTTGATAGAAGAGAGTTTATTTCCTTGCCTATTTTATACTTATTAATCATTACTTACCTGATGTCCTTCCCGGACAAATTGTACTACTTTCTCATAACAGACCATATCCATTGTTTCTATCTCGTTTTTCTTTTTAACGCCTATAAAACTTGTTGTCAAAGGTACCGACCGAAATCTAAAAGTTTACTATTTCTAATCCATTTTCTTGATTTATTTTTAGACTCTTTATAATTATTGTAATTATTTCAAATCATGAAACACAGAGAAATACTTATTAGGACTAGTACCTGTTATCAAAGAAGAATAATCCATTTTTCGGATTCACTTTCAAAAACTGAGCGACATCTAAATATCCAGGGAGTGTAGCAGATAGGGCTACTATTCTAATCATACTCTGACTGCTCACGACTTGTCGCAATGTTCTTGCTACCAATGCTTCAATAACTGGTCCTCTAGAGCCATTAAGTAAATGAACTTCATCAATTATTAACAGTTTTACCAAACCTACTACTTCCGTATCAACTAAGAATAGACAATAATAATTATTTAAGGTGGTATACAAATCAGTTTATATGCATAATCATACCAGCTCCTTTTCTTGTTATAACGTCCCATTTTTCGGGCGTTGTGACCAGCATTTGCGTTTCCGCAATTTCTTTCTTTGTTAATTGCATGTCCCCCGTGCATTCTTTAACAGATATGCCAACTGGAGCCAACTTTTTACTAAAATTTGTGACCATTTCCGTAGCTAGCGCTTTCATTGGGCAAACATAAATAATCTAAATAATGTTTGTTTTAATCACATTTTACAAATTCATAATTTAATTTACCTTAAAATCGTTCTTTCTTATTAAACTTCCCTCCATATGGCATCGGATTTGATGAACAATGGTTAGTAAAGCAATATTTGTCTTTCCAGCACCGGTTGGAGCACAAACCAAAATATTTTCGTTTGAATGATAAGCAACAGGAAATACTTCAGACTGTATTCTTAAATATTATTAAAAAATGAGCAAATATTATTATGCAAAATATAGAGGTACCATGTGAAATATTTAAGAGGAGATAGTAGGCTGTGAAATATGGTGCATTCAAGTATTAAAAAAATCATGATCTGTAAAATATATGAAAGACATTGAAATATCCAAGAAATGCGTTAAGGCCCCCATACACTTCGGTAATTTTGCACTGATTTAACCGACCGGTTAGGAATGATGAGTTAAAAACGGCGGTGCATGTGTTGGTTAGGTTAAAAAAAATTATTTTTCCCAATAATAAAATTAATAAAACCTTAAGAAATACTGAAATATTGTGCACATAATTTTTCCCAGCGACTATATCCTCTGGAATTTCTTAATATATAGTTTTTTTATCTGTACCTATTAAATTCATTAATATCCTTAAACACTAATTGTCCTACAGTGTCTAGTGAACTAACTTGAACTAGTTTCATATCTTTGACATCTCCCTTTTTACCTCCCGGTATGATAAATTCAGCATAATCATTAGTAACTTTTTTAATAGCATTCTCAGGCTGCATTATTGAGACTCCGTCATATTTAGCTGTAATGTTTTAGAAATAAACAAAAAGTAGACTAAAGTACCCCCAATTAATTTATGTTTAACTGGTATATCAACATGGATTATTCTTAAAATATTAAGATAAAATAATACTTACTAGTTATCATATGATTTCTCATTTGATCATGAACATGTGGATATTCCTCTGGATCTATTTTAAAAGGTGCTTGTCTTTTAAATAATGGGGTACTCTTTGCTACTTCATACTCAACTTCAGCTCTAAAGGAAAAATACCATCATAAAATATACTCTAATTTGTTCTTGATTTTGTGGTAACTTACTGTTCAATTTCAGTAGATGACATCTTACTCTTTTCCTTTTTTTCGATTTTTCTTAATTTTTTTAGTGCATTGCTTTCCTTCTCAGACTGAACTGTTACAGTACCAGCTATAACGGCACTACTACTGTTTTTGGTAAACGTTTTAAGTGAGTTACTTCCATTTTCAAAATCTGTTCCAAAAATAGATACAATGTGATCAAAAAAAGTTTTATTATGATCAAGAATGCTTAACAATGACAGACAAATAATGCTGTTGTGCTATAAGATCGAAAAAAGGCGTTAGCGATGCTGTGATTTTATGTGAAAACTGAAGGGGTCCGGGAAAACATGATAAGTGCCAATTTCATAATTTTACTATATTATAGTAGGTCTAACTGGTCTCTACAAAATGTATAAACTCTCCAGCGTAATAAGCTGTTAAATCCTATGATACATGCCTAGTAAAAATTTACATACACAGAAAAAAACCTGATAATCACCAGTCGTCCAGGGCTCTCTTGTAAAATTAGTAACAAGGCGCTTATCATGTTTTCCCCTGGATCATCATTTCCAAGCAAACTGGACGCCGTTTTTTTTTTCGTTCATACTGTATGACCAAGAATCATAAAGTATATCTTGATCATAAGGTATACCATAAGATTGAAAAAAATAGCGTCAGAGTTGGAGTGCAAATGTCATCGATAGTCATTTCTAAGGTGGCTTATAGCTGTTTTTTTCTATATTGTCTCAATATTGTACAAAAAATAATGGCAAAGAATATTCATAGAACACTTACACTGTTTAGAACTGTAATCGATTACATTATGTCTATTTCTCACAATTTCTGATATAAAATCAAAAATAGCACAACCAAATGTATCTAACAAATATGCTGCAACATCATCATCGCTTTTATTGGATATTAGTTGATCTTGCACTATCGACTTGAATTCTTCATAGTTGTAATTTGGTATGGAATCTTTATATATTTCAAACATTGTTTGGAGAGAATAAGATTCTGAATGTTTCTGGCTATCATTTTTTGGATCAATATATAGTAAAGAAAACTCATTTTTCTTCTGATTGTCAATTTTATTTTGAATTTCAGGAAATTTATCTTTCAGAGGAACAGAAAAAACTGGATTTAGAGATACATAAGGTTTAAGGAAATCTATATCCCATGATGGCTGAGTATCCTTATTATAAACTCTATTAAAATGGTCATTGGGCAGACGATCTGTTATATTCTCTACTAGCTACAATTTAATATTACGAAAGATAAATCATATAATAGCTAATCTAACTTATAATTTTATGTAATGTTAATTAAAGAAAGTTACCTTATAAATCCTTTCAAGAGTATTTGCAGGTAGTTTAACAAAAAACTGCCTGTTAAAATATTGTCTTAATTTATATTCTTTTAATATTTTCACAATATTTTTGCAGATGATCTCTTCTAGAGGTACATCATCTTTAATTGTTACTTCAATTTGTCTCTTAATTATATCTCGAAAGTAATGTAAGAAGATGAGTCCAGTTGATGTATTGGAATCATTACTGTATTTGAAAAGATTTTCAATTCTCTCATATTCACATCTGCAAACAAATAAATAAAATAAAATGGCATACCTACTAAAAAATTATTGATATTATATCTCAGTCAAATGATAGACACATTTATACAAATATACCTATGTATATACACAATTATAAATAATAGGTACTTATTATATTTTAAGATTACTTACTCGGATATAGAATACGGTAGTATTTGAATTGTTTCAATCTTTTGCAAACCATGAAAATCTTTGAAAAATCCCGCACCACCTTCCATGTTATATAAAAAATCTAGTTGGTTTATTTAAATTCCTTGTCCATTATTCAAATGTGTATAGTTATAAATTACACAATATTTCATAAAAGGTCTAAAAATTTAATAAAAATAAAGAAAAGGCAGATTTTTGATTTTGATCCGCCCTCCACTTCTCCGCTCAACCCAACCTCAGTCGCCCCTCCTCCCGCCTGTCATTATTTTAAGGTTAGTAGTGGGAGAAGTTTATTGGTTTAATGGGCCACAGTTGGCCAGGGCTATCCGGCCGGTTGGTAGAATTAACTACAGTACGTCCATAGTGCGTCTATCCCATAGAGAAATATAAAATAAAAGAGTTGTCATTTCCATAGTCAAAAGTAGGCAACACGTTTAACGAGGATCGATTGTAGCGCACCCTTGAGCCCTAACTAAACTAATGGAAATATGACAGACGTAATCGGTAAAATAGGTATCTGCATTATCTACCACAAAAAAGGCGGGCAGTTTAAATGTGAATATAAAATTTTTTGTATTTTTAAAAATATTACGAAATCAAAACTGCAAAAAAAATAATGAAAATTTATTTTTAACAACGGAATATTTGAAAAGTATAAACTATTCTACACTTCAAATGCTTACAGTTAAATGCTAAATTAAATTTGATAATATACAACATATGTATATGCCAAATTAACCTCGAGGGGTAAACCGCTGATGAATTTCTGTACACTATGCCAAATAATTTAGTACTAATACCAATAATACCACGAAAATGCCAAAAATGCCAACATCTTGTACACCAAAATACACCAGCGGTTTACCCCTCGATTAACCTATAGTATTATAAAACGTATATAACAACGCCACTAACAAAGCATATAAGATCGCAGGGTTTGCAATCTATGCTATTATAACAGATTAAGATTTAAATAAGACATCATCAAAAATGAATTCACCTTTAAGTTGGATTTATAAACTCAGCAGTTGAAGTTCAGTTGAGGTAGCAAATGTTCAACACTATGAAATGAAGGCACAAATTTATACCTAGTCAGTTCGTTTTACGTTCACGGAGTTGAGAGATGGGCAACGTTTTTACATATCGAACTTGCTTTGCATGATACCCTTTCCCTGGATCGTGTTCAAATGATGTTCAATCGGCTGAACAAAATATTGCATGATGACGGCAAAACACATAGCACAAAACATAAAGTTCAAATCATAGAGAAATATAAGGTCTCTGGTTCCTCGGGAAATAAAACTTCCTCCATAATTTCTGTACGCACAAACACAAAACAAACAAACAAAGCGTCGTTTGCTACACAAAATAATAACAAAATTCCAAAATTCAAAACAAAATTGTAAACAATTGCAAAATACCACTGACTAAAAAAAATACAAATAATTTGCTGTCATTTCACTTGTCAATCTTGTCATCCCGCCTGTCATTATTTTAAGGTTAGTAGTGGGAGAAGTTTATTGGTTTAATGGGCCACAGTTGGCCAAGGGCTATCCAACCGGTTGGTAAACACTAACTATTTTAGTTCCATAGTGCGTCTATCCATTCTGTAGTTCGCGATTTTGCGAAACGTTCTCATTGGTCCAAATTTAATGATCATGGCGGCGCTGTCAGAAATTTTAAGATTTTGGCGATTCCCAAGAATTAAAATTTGGGCGGCGGGAAAGTTAAAATGTTTTCAACTTTTTGCGGATATTATAAAAGTGACTAATTGCAAGGCAAACAGAATGCATTTCGCAATTTGTAAATCGCAATTCGCAAGTGCTTGAACTATTATAAATAGTTGGCATATTATAAAACGACGTAATTCCATTACAGATTTTATGATTTTATGCCATTTATATTCTGTTATTCTATGCACAGAATTCCATGTTCATTCATTCATTATAGCGAACAGCATAACATTACAGAGTGTATACTATAGTATTTTTTCAATATTTAAAAAATAATGACTGTTATACTGCCCCTTTTATACCCTCTCATTAGAAAGAACTCAGATAGCACATTTTCTATTAATATATTTCTGCGTTTTCTACCGTCTGATAAACGGATCTGAAACAACGGGACAACAGTGAGGGGATCACAATTTTCTAAAATCATGACCGATTTCATTCATAAAATATCTAGGAGCGTGCTTTGATTCATAAAAATATATCAGGAATTTTTATAATATTTTCCAGTAAAGTTTATAATATTATTTTACTTTAAATGTACCTGCATCTTGTTTGCCATTTGCCAAATATAGTAATATTTCTTAAAATGCGTGTACTAATTACAATAAGAACAAATCAAGTTAAATGTATAAAACACAATACAATAACACCGCCACTGGATTTTTGAATAGTACTGACTGTTTCCTGTTTCTACTATTCCTACGGTTTCTACCAAAGACATCTAAATAAAGGATTACTAGATATTTTTGGTGTGTATTATAAAAACAAACTATAAAATTCAAAGCAGAAACTATATAGATGCCTTTATTTTGATGTCTTTGGATTCACAGTTTGGATTCTACTTTGCTTTCCAAACTACTGCAGGCTACTGCTTATTGATATCCAAAGACGTTTGACTTTTGACTTTTACAACAACTGTTAATTCTTTTGCATTGAAAACTTTGATATAATTTCCGCCTGGTCATAATTATTAATTAAACTATCTTTAGCATTATTAAACTATAATCAGAGCTACGTAGTCTAATAGTCAAAACAAATACAAAGTTCAGAACGCCATGACAGAATCACGCGCTGAGAATTTAGTGACGTAGAAAATTACGCGATATTGACGCAATTATTTCTAATCTACAGTCACCTTTAAAGTTAATTATATTCTTAGCAACTGGCAGTCTGTCGGGCCAACTAAAGCAGTGCGGTAATGGTTTAAAAATTTGAATTTCACTTGCCATTCAATTTTTAAGCAACGTAAATATTACGGAAATTTAAATAAATCTCTGAAATCATATAAATATACAGTTCACATATTAACAATGGTAGCAGTATTTTCTAGATTAGTGGCCTTTACAAACAGGCATCCAGTCGCCCGGGGTATGCTGTCATACGGTAAGTTAATGCACATATCTGGAAAAATAAACACTTACAGTAAAAATTGCCGAACAGGTACCTTATGGCCTACATCTTGTTTGATACAGCAAACTATGTCCGGAAAAACCATCGAGAATTACGATTGGATACAAGCTCTAAGATTTAGCCTTTACGGGGTTTGTTTACTGCTCCAACGTTATACGCCTGGATAAAGCTTTCGTCAAGATTGTGGCCGGCAACTTCTCTTAAAACATCAATAGCAAAAGTAAGAAACATTTCTATTAAAATTGGAGTTCATATGCAGGCTGAGTTTTCTATGTTCTCTATGCATGGATATCTCTGTTACTAGTGTATATTGCAAAAGTAAATATATACGGTATATTGCAAAAGTAAATATATACCAAAAGTACTCGTACAAAAGTCAGTATGCACAAAAGAGTCTACATATTTATAATTCAGACCAAAATGCCGTAAAACAATTATTTAAAAAGGCAAACCAGTGGATTTGAAATTTAATTTTTTCCATGATTCATCACACAAAGATTAAACAAATTATGGGGATGATCTTTTAACGATTATTGTTAAATTTTCATAACAAGAAAACCACTGAATATAAGATTTCAGTAATTTTACTTCAATGTCTCATTTTTTAGCTAAATATGGCGTGGTTCATATTTATACTACTTGACTCTATATTTAAATATGTGTGTTACATACGTAAGAAACAAGAATATGATATTATACGAAATTATCGTAAAAAACATTTGATGTTAATTGGCAATGCTTATTCATTCAAGTAACCCATTTTAAAATGTGAGCCTAATTTCAAATTTCTCGCCAATTTATTTTGATTTTTTATAGGATGCCAAGAATTTTTTTAAGTGTTCATTGAATGTGCATATTTTACAGGCATTGGTGGAACAAGTAACATACGGCCCAGCGGCTCTAGTTTGTTTCTTCTTCGGAATGAGCTTACTGGAAGGAAAATCTGTTGAACAGGCGAAAAAAGAAGTCGAGAAGAAATTTTTATCGTCTTGGAAAGTACGTAGTAAAACTGTCAATAAAATTCTGAATTTTCTAAAATGTTTTTTTTTTCAGGTGGGAGTTTGCTTCTGGCCGGTTTTACAAACGATCAATTTTCGCTACATTGCTGAGAAAAACCGAGTACCATTTGTAAGCAGCTGCAGTCTAGTGTGGTGTTGCTTTTTAGCATATATGCATCAATTACAAATGACCAAAAATAACGAAATAATTTTGAGAGAACCTAAGAGAATTTTAGCAAATACTTCATGAAGATAGTAGAAACGACACACTGACAAGTTCCTTTTAGATCGTACGTTAACTATAGGTAGAAGAATAAATTATTTGGGGCTGGTTCCCTAACGAATTAGTCATTCCTCTATTTTCCATGCTTAGGCACAACTCAAAATTCACAAAAATGGAATTAGATATGACATATATCAATCTTTAATATGTAATTGTAGACCATACGAAGTCTTGCCAAAATATTGCTCGTATATTTAGTTTTATTTGAACGTAGCTGTGTTTATTAATCTGTGTTAAAATAGTTTTAGAATTATTCGTCATTTACTGCTGGCAGGTGACGAGTTTGATTATGTGATATAATTATTGTATCCGATAGACTGTGTTATACTTTATACCATATTATTAATAATTATTTTGTGTTCATTCATAATTTTATAGGTTATTAATAAATAAAATATTTCGTTAAATAGCTTTTGATCTGTCCCTTATCTTCATATCAAAAATAACATCAACAATAATGATAATTGAAAAATTTGCAAACTGTTCGTGGCCAGTTCATTCCGCTGTTAAAAATTTACCAAGGCATGTATTGACATGATCCAAAAAACAAAATACCCAGGAGAAATAGTTCTGACCGTAAAATTATATTTAAGATAATTTACACACGAAATTATTGCACAGGGTGTTTTGCACCCTGTATAATATGACAAATACTAAAGTTTATAAAAAACTGAGTTTGCGAATTAAAGTTGATATAATTATATACAGCTTGCTAAAAAATTCATGAAAATAGATTTTAGTAAGAAGTTTCACTTCAAATATGGGCACATAGTGCACACACGGTTTTTTTCTTTTTAGTGCTTTTTTACTTTTTTCTTAAAAAAGTTTAGAAAATTGAATGAGTGTTAATTACCTCGCAAAAAAGTGATCGCTAAGTTTACCGCGTGTAAAAAAACAATAAAGTGAATATCCTAAGTTTAACGATGAGTTATGCTGGTAATATAAAAAGTATTTAAAGAAAAACTTTGAAATCGGGTGAAAGTCCCAGAAGAGAAAAAAACTGTACGAATTGTTTTGTATCACATAATCTTCAAGTGATTTCTGAACTTTTAAAGGCTCAAGCAAAATCTTTATATGAGATCCTGAAGTAAACTGACGGTTTGCAGTGATTTCCGGTTATATGGTTAGCAGTTTACTCAAAATTTACAAACTAATAAAAATTAAGTAATTAAATTACTATTAATTAATTAGTTACAATTTTGAGAAAACTTCAATTTTTTCTGACAAATACACATTAAAATTACACTTTCTCTGAAAATTTATAAATTCTCTGAAAAACTACATTTTTCTGAAAATTTATAAATTTCTTGAAAATGTAAAATCGTTATTTTTGGGGCTTACTCAACCGGGTCTCACAATGCAAATTCACCTCAAATATCCCTTTAATTGGTCATTGGCAAAAACTTTCTCATTGTACATGAAAATAACAAAACAAACATTTACTGATCTGGATAAAATTGATAGTTAAATAGTAAGACTCACCCGGGGGTACTCCGCCCCCTAGCCACTGACATCACTGACATTCTATTCAATATATTCCATTCCATATCTTCCATGTAATTCAAATATTATTCGGATCTATTGCTTGATAATCTTCAACAACTAGCTAGTGTCACCTGAAATAGTATAGGGGCTTCCCCCGGACGCAAATCTGCCGCTAAACAGATTCGCATCCCAATCGATGGGGCTAATTGGGGTCCACACACAACGCCCCAGCGGTGTCAATCGAGAAGCAAGAGAGACCTCAAACTCTCAAGACCATCCTCGAAGGAACGACGTCAAGAGGTTTTTAACTCCCATAGTCAAAAGACTCGCTACTTCCAAATGTCAGCTCTGTGACAAAACACAACACTACACAGCCGGCCGGCCTATCAACGACTGACTGGCCTGCCGAGCTAAGCCTCCTCTTACATCACAATTTTACCTGATCACAAATATTTACATCGCTTGCCAATGAATCATACTGTTTTCTCTAATCGACTTTCAAATAGAGTGTTTTAGCATTACCAAATAAATAAATAGAGAGGTTCCGAAAGAATGCATATTGTTTATTAGAATAGTGAATAAATAAAAGCATTATTATGACGAACTTATTTTCCAAGTTTTACAAAAAATTACACTTTTTCTGAAAATTTACACTTTTTCTGTAAATTTACACTATTTTTGAAAAAATGCACTTTTTATGAAAAAATACACATTTCCTGAAAGTTTACACATTTTCTGAAAATTTACACTTTTTCTGTAAATTTACACTTTTTCTGAAAAATTTCACTTTTTCTGTAAAATTACGTTTTTTTATAAATTAATTTTTTTTGAAAAATTATACTTTTTCTGAAAATTAGTTTTTTTTACATTTTTATATTTAAGAAAAAATTGGATTGAAGAGTGTAAATTTTTAGATATAGTGTAATTTTTCAGAAAAAGTGAAATTCTTCAGAAAAAGTGTAAATTTACATAAAAAGTGTAAATTTTGAGAAAAAGTGAAATTTTTCAAAAAGATATAAATTTTCAAGAAAAGTGTAAGTTTTCAGAAAGTGATATTTTTCAGAAAAAAGTATAAATTTTCAAGAAAAGTGTAATTTTTCATAAAAAGTTGCAATTTTTCAGAAAAAAATGTAAATTTACAGAAAAAGTGTAAATTTTGAGAAAAAGTGAAATTTTTCAAAAAAAGTATAAATTTTCAAGAAAGGTGTAATTTTTCATAAAAAGTTGCAATTTTTCAGGAAAAAATGTAAATTTACAGAAAAAGTGTAAATTTTCAGAAAAAATGAAATTTTTCAAAAGAAGTGTAAATTTTCCAGAAAAGTGTAATTTTTCATAAAAAGTTGCAATTTTTCAGAAAAAAATGCAAATTTTCAGAAAAAATGAAATTTTTCAAAAAAAGTGTAAATTTTCTGAAGAAAAGTGTAATTTTTCATAAAAAGTTGCAAGTTTTTAGAAAAAAATGTAAATTTACAGGAAAAATGTAAATTTTCAGGAAAATTGAAATTTTTCAAAAAAAGTGTAAATCTTCCAGAAAAGTGTAATTTTTCATAAAAAGCTGCAATTTTTCAGAAAAAAATGCAAATTTTCAGAAAAAATGAAATTTTTCAAAAAAAGTGTAAATTTTCTGAAGGAAAGTGTAATTTTTCATAAAAAGTTGCAAGTTTTTAGAAAAAAATGTAAATTTACAGGAAAAATGTAAATTTTCAGGAAAAGTGAAATTTTTCAAAAAAAAGTATATATTTTCAAGAAAAGTTTAATTTTTCATAAAGTTGCAATTTTTCAGAAAAAAATGTAAATTTACAGAAAAAGTGTAAATTTTCAGGAAAAGTGAAATTTTTCAAAAAAAAGTATAACTTTTCAAGAAAAGTGTAATTTTTCATAAAAAGTTGCAATTTTTCAGAAAAAAATGTAAATTTACAGAAAAAAGTGTAAATTTTTAGGAAAAGTGAAATTTTTTAAAAAAAAAGTATAAATTTTCAAGAAAAGTGTAATTTTTCATAAAAAGTTGCAATTTTTCAGAAAAAAATGTAAATTTACAGAAAAAGTGTAAATTTTCAGGAAAAGTGAAATTTTTCAAAAAAAAGTATAAATTTTCAAGAAAAGTGTAATTTTTCATAAAAAGTTGGTAGCGTGGTGTGGAGCGGGGTGTGGTAGCGTGGTGTGGAGCGGGGTGTGGTAGCGTGGTGTGGAGCGGGGTGTGGTAGCGTGGTGTGGAGCGGGGTGTGGTAGCGTGGTGTGGAGCGGGGTGTGGTAG